AGGATCAGGTAGTCACATGCTTATGTGTGTATACCTGTAAGTGTTGGTAGAATCAGGAGTGAGGCTGATGTCTGATTTAAAGTCCATTTCTTTCCTTTGTTGCCCCCTTTAAAAACAAATTGCTATGTTTAGTAGTACAAAGGGGTTTGTTTTATTTGTGAGACTCTTTTACAGCCTATTTTCAGATCTGTTTTGTTCAGATGAAGTGAGGAGTGGTTATCATTAATGTTAAATGAGTGTCTGGTAGGTGAGTTTTTATGATGCTGTGTCAGTGATGGTCAAGGAAGCTTTAAATGAAAATGTGTGTGTGTGCACTTGCATCGAACTGGTCAATTTCAAGATGGATTTCGTGATACCAAATGAAGCTTGCATTTGATTTTGTAAAAGCACCAGACAGTTAATGCATGATTCATGAAGATCACATCTCATAGAGACATAAAAACCTCTTTTTTAAATGCCAGTGAGATACAAATATCAGTAACTCCCTTGGAGAGTAAGTTTGTCTTCTCTCTCAGCATCAGAAAGGGCTCTTCTCACTGCTGCCCTTTGTGTTGTTAACCCTTCATCCAGTGTGGTTTCTCTTGGCGGTGTGTAGTATGTGTTTCAGAACTCAAAGTTCTTCGACAGTGATTTTGAGTGGCCCATTCCTTTTCCCTTTTGTCTGTGAGAGTTTCTTTATTCCTTTGGAGCTTGGGCTCTTCCCTGCTGTGATACCTTTGTTTGTTCACTTATTCATTCAGTCCCTAGTATGCTGAGCTTCTACACATGTATGTGTGGAAGTATGGGATGCAGCCCAGACTTAACCTCCTGCCATCTAGCAGATCCCTTCACCCAGCTAGCTAGTAGGGAGTCCATGCCTTGTCTGAGGGGGACATATATAGCGTTGACATTTCAGTTTATAGCAGGTTCCCAGCTAGTGGGCTGAGTTTGGAGATTGGTGTTGAGGACTTAAAGGGTTCTCTTTTCCTCATTATGGGATGAAGTCTCTCTCTTCCCAATTGTAAAATGTAATGATTTATGTGACAGCACTTGAGAAAGGCAGAGTGCTCTATAATGGTCTGCCTCACGTCTCGTCCTGACCTGGATCACCTTGTTCTGTTCTCTCTCCTTTTTGAGGCACCCTGACCATCCACTCCTGATCTGGCTCCCACTTCCCACTCTCCCTCAGCTTCTGAGGGAAGCCTAAGAGAACAAGACAGGTCTGATTCTCTGTCTCTTCTGTTGCTTAATGTGTCTTTAAAATGCAGTTGTTTCCCTTGGAGTCTCCCTTGCTGTTGGTGCATCTGTGTGGATTTCAAGGGAAATTCGAAACCTGACCGGACACAACATTCTGCCTGTTGGTGACAGCATTGCTGCTGTTGCTGCTTTCGTGTGTCTGCTCTTCCCAAACCATAAACATTTGTGGTATAGAGATAATGCTCGTTGCCTTAGATTAAGCCCAGCATCCAAGCATTACCTACGCTGTGTGGGGACCGGTGACTAAGTATCAGGTTTTCATACCTATGTAAGCTGACTTTCACATTGCTACCTATTTAATAGTGAACTTTTGTGTATGAGGCTGGTGTGAGGGTAAGGGATGAAACAGAATCATAAATAGTCATATGAGCTGAACTTCAACACATACATTAACATTTTTGTTTTCCCCTCCCCTTGGTCTTAAAAGATAAAAATGGCAGAGGAGATAGCTGAGGCAGAGAACTCCTATATAGTAAGAGGACTCCTATATAGTAAGCTCAGGCATTCCTATAAAAGCAAAAACACAGGCCTGAAAACCTGTTCTGTTGGATTTTTTTTGGTGGTTGTTGTTGTTTTTTAAACTCAGGTCACAGGTAATAGTCTTCCATGGACACTTATGTAATAAAAAACATTTGCTGATGCTTTGTCATTAGGATGGAAATGAATGGAGAAACTATCCTCTGAGGATGAGCTAAGTAGTGATGGAAAGTCTCACTTAAGTTATTTCTGGTTGGATTTGGAGAAGCACTTTTGATCCATGCTGGAAGACAGGAGGTTCTGTTTCTCCAGTCCCTGTTGGTTTCCATTCCACAACCTAGAACTCCATTAAACCAAAGCATTAGGAAGCCCATTGACTGTTCAGACTTCTTACTGGGTAACTAGATAATAGAGAGGAAGTTCATCTCTAAGATAATACAATTGTAGAGGAAACTCTGGTTGGATGGGCTCACAAACTGCCAAGGAGGAAGAATAAAACCCTGGCCTATCAGAGCTTCCACGTAATCTCGATCTCCTCCAGAAGTCAGATTTGGGGCTGGCAGAAACATCCCTATGTCCGTTCTAATAGCACCCACTGAGTGCCTGCTAAAGCAGGAAGAAGGCATTGCCATCTTGTGGGTTCCTCTTGCCATGAGAGAGAAGATGGACAAATATAAAGAAAAGGGAATGAATGAGTGAGCAGTACACTAGGGAAGTTCAGAAGAGGGCAACACCAAATCCTAAACTAAATCCTGATCTTCTCAGCATGGGAAGGAGGAATTAGAACTCATATCTCCAGGAAAATGAGGGTTGGTTGAGTCTTACTAAAGGAAGGGTAGAGAAAGTATTGAGAACAAAAGAGACTGAGAAGGGACTCTTGGGCACAGGAATGTCTGCAAAAGTCCTGAAAGAAAATTGGGTCAGCAGATCTTTTCAGAAAGAAGGATCCTACTTTGGGAATCTCCCAACATAGCAAAGGTAGAGCTCTGTCTCTATTTCCCTAAATAAAGTTTTATTAGAAAGAAGCCTCACCCATTCTCGTATTTCTTTTACTTGCTACTCTAACAGGTTTGAGTAGTTGTGACAAAACATGAAGATGCAAACCTTAAACCATTTGCTATCTGGCCCCCCACCAGCAGTTTGCCCACTTTGAGCATGTCATTTTCATTTCTTGAAACAGAGTGAAAAGCACATCATCAGCAACAGGGCTTTGTTTTCTGCCCTGGACTGGTTAAGGTTAATACCTACTCTCCTGTGCCTCCAACTCTGTAGCCTCTGGCTTCTCGGTTTCTGGTCCTGAAACATTCCAGAAGTGGAATGTTGTAGTAGGATAGGATTATTTTCCCCAAAAAGAGGGCATGTCCCCTTAAGATGTCTAATTATCCGAACCCTTACTGTTACGAGAGTTTGCTTGATTTCTTTGAACCTCTGCAGCTGCCTATATACTTAGAAAGTATTACCCAGCAAAATTAGAATTCAAAACAGTTAGAGGAGTCATCATGATTGTAAAGTCCTCTGTAGTTTCTGGTGATTAGTGGCTTCTGGATCCTGATGAATGAGAGGAGAGTAGCAGCAGAAGAGCCGGCCCTTCAAGCCTTTTATTTCAGAAATACAGAGAACGCATTTCCAGAAAAGCAGCTGTGCCAGGCCATACTCTTTACAAATATTAACTTAATAAGAGATAGACAAAATAAAGCTACAGTCACTGTCAATTTACAGATTGTAAAACAGAGGCTCTGATAAGCTAATGACTTTACTGACTGACAATGCCTTCCATCTCTGAGGAGGAAGGCATTGACTTTTATGCTTTTGCTGTCCTTAGCAAGTAGTGATGCTAAGTCAGGAAGACAAGACTTTCAGATCATTGAAAGGACTGGCTTTCAAATATTAGGTACAACTAAATCCTCCTTAATGTTAACTTTGTTTTTACCCCAACAGCAACTGAGGTATTAGATATCCTTATCAAATGATACTGCCATTTAAGATCTTTGTGCTTAGTATTTGATGGCAATAAATAATATATTCCCAAGTTTTTCTGGAAAATAAAGAAGTTGTTTTGGGTTATCTTCAATCTCAACACAATCCTTCCTACAGAAAATTCCCATTATAGCCACTGTGACTTTGGGCAAAGATCATAGTTCTTACTGTGGTATTTAAAGCCTTTTTTCCATAGACTCTGTCTGCTCCTGTCTGACTTGTCAGTGTTTCCCAAAGTTGGTCCCTGAATTTGGAACTACCTCAGTTCCTTGAGTGCCATCTCTAGATTGTCCATCTGTCTGTCTCAGTGCTATTTTGTCTTCTTATCTCATTTAAAGGGTCACTGGATCCTAGAACCCTTCCTTAGCCAATAGAGATTGAGTTGATATCATTTCCTTGCCTACTCCATAATACTGTCTGTCACACTGTTCTGTTGTTCATGTGCCAGTGCCCACCTTTAGATTGTAAACCTCTTGAAATCATTCTTTTAGTTTTGACTCTGTAGTTTTCAAGTATAGGAATCTAGTTACTATAAAGGGGATTTATTAATGTGTTTGTGCTGGTCCTGGAGGGCTTTGAACTCAGGACCTCATACTCCTACTTAGCTTTTTTTTTTTTTTTTTTACTCAAGGCTGGCACTCTACCACTTGAGCCACACCTCCACTTACAGCTTTTTGCTGTCTAATCAGAGATAAGAATCTCACCATATTTTCTTACCAGACTAACTTCAACACGTGATCTTCAGATTTCAGCCTCTTTAGTAGCTAGGATTGCAGGCTTAATCTATCAGCTCCTGGCTTAAAAGGATTTATTGCAGGGAAATCAAATCACTAAGGAGACTGAAATCTGAGAACTGGTTCTGAAAGAAGCCAGACCTCATCAAATTGACATGGGAATTCTTCAGGATAGTAATATGTCACTGATGGCTCGTTGCTCCTCTAAACCCTCTTTCTGCTGACTTTTTGAGACTGTGCCTATATGTTCACAAAGTCTTCATTCAATCTCCATTTGCCTGACTGCTTAGAATGTGCCTATAAATACAATGTCTTCATTTCCACCTCCCTGCTTCTGTGATGCCTCAGTTTACCTTCACATTTCCAAGAAAGCCATCTGACAAGTCTATCTCATCCTTGTGACCAAACAACAAGCAAGGGTAGGTGTCTGGCTATCCTGTTGGTGGGCTGTCCTTGGTAAGGATCTCCCTTAGAATGCTCAGACATGTTTGGTGCTGTCATGATTTCATGGGCCAGAATGTCTGCAGTGCTGGTCTTGGCTTTTGTTTTATGGACTTTGTTCTCCATTCCTTACAGATATCATTAATGGAGCTCAAGAGAAATGTGTATTGCCTCCTATGGATGGCTACCCACACTGCGAGGGGAAGATCAAGGTAAGACATAGGCAATGGCTGTTCATCTCCATCCTCCTCGATCTGATTCAAGTGGGTGAGTGGGCCTGTGAAGTAAGTCATTTCAAGGGCACCAGCTTTGGGCTGTGACCATGACGACTCTACTCTGCTTAGGCTAACTACATAGGTGGTCAGCAATAGTTCTTACTGCTCAGACAGGAAGAGCCAGGGCCACTTTCCCTGCGGGCCTTGTCTCTGCAGCTCCTTTCCTCTCTTTCCCAGCTTCCTGTGGGTGATCCTTCAAGCCACAGTGACAAGGGGCAGCTGTTATTTAATGACTGTCTCCCTGTTCCCACAGGCACTAGGGGCCTTGCTCATTTCGTCAGGACAGTGGCTTAAAGGTCACATTTGCATGTTTAGTTCAGTGCCCAGAGATACATGGTCAATCTTCCATTCTTTTGGTTGTTTACTTTTATTTTCGTCTTTTTTTTTAAATGCTGAGTATCAAATGCTGGGACTTCATGAATGCTGGACAAGTGCTCTCTCATTGATCTGCGTTTCTAGCCCTTGACTCTTTTCTTTTTTCTTTTTTTCCCCCTGTTTTTGAGGGGTAGTGGTAGATAGTACTGAGGATTGAACTGCTTACTGGGCAAGTATGTGAGTATATGAGCCATTCCTTTAGTCCTTTTGGTTTTTCATTTGTTGTTTTTCAGTTAAGGTCTCATACTTTTATCCTGGCTGGCAGCCTTAAATCCAGATGCTCCTACCTCTGTACTCCCTCCCTAGTAGAAATTACAGGCATGCACCACCATTACTAGCTTTAACTTTTTCATTGTTTGGTTTTGGGGGCTTGGGATTGAACTTGAGGCTTTGCCCATATTAAATATATGCTCTACCACTCAACTACATCCCAGCCCAACATTTTTTTTTAATTCCTGTTATGGTTTGTCCTTGGGGAGACCATGCCTGACCAGTAGAGCTCAGAGTGTGTTAGTTCAGGTTTGCAGTTAGGGCCAAAAGAGCAACCTAGATGTCCATTTGGATCAACATCTATAATGATCACTAAGGCCTGTGAGCATGCCTACTGTGGGTAAGTGGACCTTACAGCAGTACCCATGGGACATTTAGATGTCCTGGGGGGTATATGATCTTGATAGCATCTTCCCTCTTCTAGATTGTCTCTACTGTTCAGGCCCAGCTCAAGCCTATGTTGGCTGTGGTTCCTGACTTTAGCTCATGATCTCCTTGTTGTCCTCAGATCACAGCCTGAACCACTCTTCTCACTATTGCTCTTCTCCATCAAGTATGTGAAACACAGAACAGGTTACTGAGACATATTTCTCTGTTCTTGTTATTTCAGTGGATGAAAGATATGTGGCGTTCAGATCCCTGCTACGCAGACTACGGAGTGGATGGGTCCACCTGTTCTTTTTTTATTTACCTCAGTGAGGTGAGTATCCCAGCACTCCCAACGGTAGAGGTCTGTAGGTAGACTGTTGTAGCTGGTACTGCAGTTTGAAAAGTTGAAAGATGTGTGTTGGCTTTTTACAGTGCTATCTCCCCAGGAAGACTTTATTGCCATGTTTTCCTATTGTGTAAAATATACTCACTGTAAGATTTTTCCATCGTAACCATTTTCAAGCGTTCAGTTCAGTGGTTAAGTACCTTCACAGTGTTAGGGGATGATCACTACTATCCATTTGCAGAATTCTTTTCATCTTGCAAAATGCAGTCTGTACCCATTAACCTTAACTCCCCAATCTTCCAACCTAGAATTAGCACTTCATTCTACTTCTGTCTCTTTGGATTTTTGCCCTAGGTACTCAGAAAAAGAGAACTCTATTCTTTGTCATGTTGTGTCTAGTTCATTTTACTTGGCATATTTTTAAGATTCAGCTCTGTCATAATGTGTGTTAGAATTTCCTTTATAAGACTGAATCATATTCCATTGTGTCTAAATGTTGATTTGCTTATCTGTTTGTCTTTCACTAGATTCTTGGGTTGTTTCCCCATTTGACAACTCTGAATAATATATACCCCCTGACACCTTGCTTTCAGTACCCCAAACAGGGTTCATATCCCACAAGTGGACTTGGTGGGTCACAATTTCATTTTTATGTTTGGAAAAGCCACCATACTGTCTTTCATACCTGCTGTCCAGTTTCCATTTCCACCAGTGGTCCACAAAGGATCCAGTTTTTTTCACATCTTCAGCCAATACTTGTTACTTTCCTGGGTGTGAAATAACTCATAGCAATCTTGAGCTTCTTGTCATGTCTATATTGGCTAGTTACCTGTTTAATTATTACCTGAGTTTATTACACCTTTCCCTTCTGTTGTCTGCTGGTAGCAGGGTTTGAACTAAAGCCCTCATATTCACTTAGCTAGATTGCTCATAGCTGGTGCTCTACTACTTGAGCCGTACCTCCTTGCTTTTTGCTACTTTGGAGATTGAGTCTTTAGGACTTTTCTGTCTAGACAGGCCTCCAAACATGATGCCCTGGATCTCAGCCACCTAAGTAGTTATACTGGTGTCAACCACTGGTTCCTGTTATCTTCTCTTGTCTTTTCTCTTCTTTTCTTTTCTCTTCTTCCTTTCTTCCTTCCTTTCTTTCTTTTGCTTATTTGTTCATTCTTTCTTTTCTTGCCTATTTGTTTGCTTTCATCTGATTTCATTTTCATGTGTACCCTTGCATTTTTTAAAGATTTCCTAGTACTTACTTAACAGGCCACATACCATTTGTTGTGGCTTCAGTAACCTCCATTTCACACTTGAGAAAGTCAGGGGTGTGAAGAAGAAGTAAGGTTTTCTCCGTGAAAGAGTCTAGTAGGGAATCCAAACTGCTGGCTGCCTCTTCACCCCTTGATAGCTGGGGCTGCCCTAGGGGCTGATGAAACAGGTGCTGACTAATTCAGAGCTGCTGCTTCTGTGGCTCTCCACTACAGTTCCCCCGTCATTCTGCCCTGTGTGTGCTTTGCCAAAACTAGTTGACGGTAGTAACAGTACGCTGGTGACAATTTGGAAAACACTCTGGTATTGAGACTAGGAAATGTTTTTGCTGTAGTTGTTCTTGTGGAATCTAGACACCTCATATTTCTGCCATAAGTGTACTCCGCCAACTTTTTTTTTTGAGGTAGAGTACAAATTATAATGCCCTTATTCTCTCTCTTTGGTTAATATATTCAAATCAGACTTCTTGTGTGTGTGTGTGTGTGTGTGTGTGTGTGTGTGCACTGAGTTTGAACTCAGGGCTTAACGTTCTCACATGGCATTTTTGCTCAAAGATCATGCTTTCCTGCTTGAGCCACACCTCCACTTTTGCCCTTTTGCTAATTAATTGAAGGTAGAGTCTCACAGACTTTCCTGCCCAGGCTGGCTTTGCACCTTAATCCTCATATCTCAGCTTCCTGAGAGCTAGCTAGGATTGTAAGCACGAGCCATCAGCACCCAGTCTTCAACTCAGATTTCTCCCTCAGCACTGAGGTTTGAATCCACAGCCTCACACCTTCTCGGCAAGAACCTGCCACTGACTCACGCCTCCATCACACTGACCTTCTTAGTTGACAGAGTTGTCTCCTGAATACCATCAGCAGCATCTCAGAGCTAGTGACAGTTAAACTATTTCTTGAAAGGAAAGACACTTAGAATTGGGATTGGATGTTCCTCATTAACAGGCTTCTGACAAAGTGCGTGTACAGCACTGAGTGTGTTTCTGGTCTCTGGTTTAGGTGACCAGTGGCCTACCTTCTCATTTTCTTCTTCAGAAGGAGGCCTGGGGCTACAGGTGAGCCTTTACTCTGGTGAGAAGCCAATTGGAAGTACCTTTCTTGCCCTTAGGGTGAGGCTTCTCACATAGTTTAATTTTCAGAAGTTTCCTTCCCCTTTCCTTATGGTAGAATGTAGCCAGAGGCCAGCTGTGTGCAGTGATTGACAAGCAGGACTAATTTCACGCCTTTCTAAGAGTTTGCAGTTGGGGTGGAATGAAGGGGCTGTTGTAGAGGATTCTGCATTCCCATACCAGCCTATTCTCCATCTCCTGGTGGTAGGAGCTAGGGAAGTGTGGGGCAGTGTTACTTGAAGAGGACTGCATTAATTCACAACCTGATCCTTTTGCTTGGAGACCATTACCCACCTCACACCCAGTGAGGGAGGGATATATAGCTAAGGAGAGAGGAGGAAAATGAGCTTTAGGGAAGGGGAAACGCAAGTACCACAGGGCAGACTGGGATATATAAAGCTAAGTGGCTCACATATTCTTTTCATGGGATGCCAAGTGTTTCACATTGGGACCTGTGACTACTTTTCCTGAGGTGTGGAATGGGCCTTCCTTAGCCTGTTTACTCTCTCCTTATATAGATCAGGTTTGACCTTTTGTAGGGCTGAGTTCAGTTCAGTGAGCACTTATCAAACATGTAATTCAACAATTTCCAGCTGCTACTGAGAACTCCTTCACTGGCCACCTGTTCAGGCTGTTTTTTTGTCCTAAAGAGGGTAATGGGAGAGGACAAGAGAGGGTAGAGATGAGAGGGAGAGAACTAAGCACCACTTTCTCCAGTTTTGCTTTGAAAATAACCCTTAAAAGGTTCTATTTTTTCAAAGCATCATACAAGGGACCCTGTTAGACTCCATATAGGTATAGGATAGGGTGAGTGCCTTAGAACTTCCTACCTAATTTTCTCTAAGGGTTCTTTGTTTGTTCGCTTTGGTTGTTTTGTTTTAGGGTTTGGGGAATTTTGGTTTCTGAAAAGCCACTAAACCTCTTTTTTTTTCTTTTTTTTTTCTTCCATTATAAATAAATCTTTTTAACTTTGTTTTCAAAGCACCCTACCATGAAGATACTGCAGAACTCCTGAGTTACTATGGAGTGTACTTAGAGTGGGCCTGGCAAAGAGAAAACACTCAGTCAACACTGATGGACACTTTGATGGTTTTTAATGGTGTCGTTATTTGAGAATAGTTTGTAGGCTGTCACTTAGCCTCCAACATTATAAGTGGGCTCTGGGTTCCATTTTAGAATTAGAATCAATTTTGGCTTCCCATTTAGCATTATAATTCAATTTTAGGTTCTTTGACTTCTGGTACTATAGAAATGTAGCGTTTCCCTTGATGCCTGTATTTCCTTAATTGACAAATAAAAATGGCATGTATTTGTAGTGTACAAGATGATATTTTGATATTTGTATATAACAGGAATGGTTAAATAAAGCTAATTAGCATGTACTTACCTCACAGACTTGTTTGTCATAAGCAAACCTCCTCTTGACTGTTTGTCTCTTAGGATGCTTCTGTTTGCATTTGAGTTAGAAGCTGCTCATGGGAAATTCATAGCCATGGTCAGTTAATTAACATCTAGTATTTTCTTCTGAATCATGAACAGTATCTGTGGCTTTATGAGGCTGTTAGTCTATAGTTTCCCCTCCCCCCGCCCCCTACCCCCGCTATTTCCTCTCTTCCTTTTCTGGAGCTTCCCTTGTTTTGCCATGCCATTGAACTCCGAGAGCTGTTTATTCCTAGATCATATGCCAGCTCTCTTTCACAGTTGGAAAAATGTTTGAGGAACATCTTCATTTGACTTGTTAACTCGATCAACACAAGCACTACTGACTTAATTCTATTTCTAACCCATATTTCTACATTAGGTATCAGGGCTGTAACAAAAAGAGACCAAGTAAAATTCTCTCCCAGTCAGTCACTCGGGAAGAACTGAAAGATTAAATTTAAATCCAGTTTAGGAAGCGGCACTTTTCCTTTGTTTCCTTTACTGGCGGCTGTCTCACAATGCCAGCTTCCACAGAATTCTGGAATTGCACGCCTCTACGCTTGCTCTGGACATCTTGTCTACAGATCCTTAAATCCCAGGGAGTAAAATCACTAATATGCCCCCTCCCCCACCTCCATTGTATTCCTCAGCTGCTGGCCATGTGTCTGACACTCTGGGGAACTGAGATGTAAAAGTCACAGCTAAGTGGATGCCCAAGTTTAGGAATAAAGCTTTGAGCTGCTCCAAGAGAAGAGTGGAAGGTCATTGAGTCCCCAGCTGAATGCTAGATGCTGGTCAATTCTTAATGGTGACCCTCCACACCTAGGGCCATAGATAACTCATAGAGGTGGGCTGGGTCTCTTCTCTGCATAGTGCTGTGCTTTCCAGCACCCTCATTCCCTTCATGAACTCAGGTTCATGATTGGTAGCCATTCAGTCTTATACTTAAATCCACTTGTATTTAAACTAGGGCTTGATTTAGCTACTTTCAATTAATCAGTGCACTGCTTGTTTTCTAATACTCTTCAATTTTGAGACCCTACCTTAAAATAGGAGAAACTTTACTGATCTACCTGAAGGAATAACTCAGGAAAACTGGGCATCTGCCATTCTGAGTGCAAAGAGTAAGTGGATGATTCATGTGGCAGCCTTGTATTTCCAGGATATCAGGTGGTTCATTTTCCATATC